CGTGCGGGCGTGCTGGCTGGCGCCTAAACCAGCGCGCTGGCTGCAGCCATCCGTGCGCTGGCGCATCGATGCTGCCGCGGCAGCATGACAACGCCACGACAGCACGACGAGGCCGCTGCGGTAGCGCAGCGAGGCCGCCATGGCAGTAGGACGTGGCCGCCACGACAGCACGGCGAGGCTGACATGGCTGCTCGACGAGGTTGCCGCGGCAGTGCGGCGAGGATGCCACGGCTGCTCGACGAGGTCGTCGCGGCAGGGCGGCGAGGCCGCCGCGGCAGCGCGAAAGTGGAATGAGAGGAGAGAGTACGCGGCGGAAGCTTGAATAGGAGGCTCAGCAGGATCTTCCTGCTCTGAAACCATGTTGAAAGGAGCTAAGAAGCTAGCTAGGCATGAGAAGAAGAGGGCAGACTAGACAAGAGAGAGAGATACAAGAAGGGTGTTGTACCCTCTACAGTAGAAATCAGTATTATAGCACACCTAATATGCCTACACAAATATATATGTAAATATAATATATATATAATTTGATAGGCATGTCATGATTTTCAGCCTTTTTTTAGTGGTCAACTCTGATTCCTCCGCAAGGTTTTCTTATCGAACCCTGAAATTTCAGCTTAGTAATGAACTGTACTTGTTTCCGCCAATGCTTGACTTGGGGGGTCTCCCAAGATTTCTGAGGTTCTTCCCCCCTCTAGGCTGTGTGAGAGCGCTGATTTGCCCTTCGTCAGATTTGAGGCTCGATGCATGCTGGGGGCTGTGTGAGGGCACTTGATGGCCCTTAGCCAAATTTTGGCCCCGATGTGTGTCTTGGAGCCTTGTGAGGCCGACAATCCCCTTTGCCCCTGCAATATCGCCCACCTAACCAAATTCGTGTCTTGCCCCATAATTTCGCCCTGCATGCGTGAATTCGCTATGGGAGTAAGTAACCACAAAGCTTTGAGAATTCAGGAAAGTTTTTGTAAGCAACGATGTTGCTCAGGAAAAAAAATCTAGTGAGTCCTGATTCATGAGAATGTTTTTTTGGGCCAACCTTGAAAAATCAGGGAAAAACTCAGGGGGGAATCCAGAGCGATCAGCATGCCTGAAAACCAATTTAGGGGCTCGCTAAAGACTCTAGCAAGGTCTGAAGAATCAGTCTAATATTCCTCATCCTCTTCGTCGTCCTCGTTGCCAGCGTGCCTCACAGGCCCTCAGATTTGTTTAGAGAGGGCTGATAACTTAGGGTCGCCCTTGTGACTGCCCATAGTTTTCATCGTCGAGGTCTGGCTGTGGCAAGCTTTGTCAGGCCTAAAATTTTCGAAGTCTGGCCTACGCTTTGGGCAAGCCTGCTTTGGGACGGTGTGGGAAAAATGCCTGATTTAGAGCGGGGTACATGAGGGCAAGGGCCAGGATCGCAGCAGGGTCACTGTGTAATGATAGCGCAATGATTACGCTTCATCGAACTGGCACCCTTTGGAATACTTTTGTCACCACACTTAATCTCTTTGCAACCCGTGACCACTTGACCCTGAGATCGCAAATCTGGCTTGTGACCCTGGAAAACCGTCTTACGGTATGTATCGCGCTCTTGGGGCTCACGATTGGTTTTTCGATATCCAGCAGCTTCAAGGGCCATCCGAAAACATTTCGGATTCATCTGTATTCTCTCGCGCTTCCCTGCAGGTTTAGTTCCAAGTTTCTGTCTGGAATGCTCACACGTTTTAGTACGGGGCTCGGAATCAAAATTACATCCGTCTGGTTTCGAAATCCACCTGGGATATAACGGAAATGGCCTGACGCCGCTGAGCCTATATTAGGAAATTTTGAGAACGTCTAGGAATATGATGAAATTTTGATGAAATTCCAAACAGTTACTTGTCTACCGTGAGCCCTCGCGATGCGTCATGCCAACACGCATGACGGTGTGATGGCAATACAGCACAGTACGCATGCATTTTTTATGGAGCTTGTGACAGTGGCAGAAATGCCACAGCTCCACCGCTGATTGGTTGTACTCTATTTTACTTGTTCAAGAACCAAGTCAAGGACCAATCACGCCAGAGACACATGTCCCTCCCAGTACAACCTCAGTGCTGCAGATAAATTTGGCCAAGGACCACAAAAATCTCCTCTCACGTTTTCTATCGCGACTCCACTTCGATGCGTGATTTTGGTCAAGGACCATTCACGCCCCTCACACATGCTCCAGCATTCAGAGTTCCGACTATCAGAATAGGAATTGAATGATTGTCAAGTGAGAGTACACACAAATATATCTAAGTGTTGTACCCTCTAAGAGGTAACCCTATACAGTCTATACAAACATGACAAATACAGATGTTTGACACACCCCATAGACTGCATAGGGGAATACCCTAAACAAGCAGCTCAGGGCGGCACTACTAGTCCAACCTCTGAGACAAGGGTCTGAGAGACCAGTCAGAAGGAGTACAGACAAGGCAAAAACAAGACCAGGGCGGCACTACTAGTCCAGCCACTGGGAGAGGACACAAGTCCAGTCTGAGTACACATATCAAGGACAGTACAAGACAAGGTCCTAGCAAGTGAGAAGCGACAAGAACTAGACCAAGCTGTACACAGTGCCGCTGATGATCTTTAGGCGCAAGCGCCTTCGTAAAGATATCAGCTGTGTTGGCACCTGAGGCCAAGTGTACTACGCGAGCCTGACGTCGCTGCTGTAGCTCACGCAGGAGGAAGTACCGCAGCTGAATGTGCTTCGCTCTGCCCTCGAGTCGAGGCTCCTGACAAAGGAGGATCATGGCCCTGTTGTCAGCGAACAGGACCGGGGCAGAGCTAGGCCGCTCACCTAAGTCAGTGAGCAAGAAGGTCAGCCAGCGGAGCTCCTGTGCCGCCATGGCACCCGCGTAGATCTCAGCCTCACAGCTGGACTGCGCAACAGACGAGGAGCGAGTAGCTCTCCACGAGACGGCACCTGAGCCAAGGCTGAAGCAGTAGCCCTGGGTAGACCTGAGTGTCTCAGCGTCGTCTGCCCACGAAGCGTCTGTGTGTCCAGTAAGGACCACTGGCCTGCGTCCTCCAAGCACTAACCCCATGCCCGATGTACTAGCAAGATAACGCAGAACCCTCTTAGCGGCAGACCAGTGCTGCGGTCGGTGTCTGCCTGTGGCCACAAAGCGCGCCAGGATGCTGAGAGGGTATGCAAGATCTGGGCGAGTGCAAGTCATCAGGTACATGAGGCAACCCACCAGCTCTGCGTAGGGGCCGCTGGGCTCTACCAACTCCTCAGGTACTGGAGCGGAGAGTCTGTGGTCTACAGGCAGAGGGGTGGGTTGTGCAGAGGAGAACTGAAGACTGAACCTCTGAAGGACCTGGCGCACCAAGTGTGACTGAGTCAGGGTGATGGTGCGCGCAGCTCTGTCCCTGGAGATCTGCAAGCCAAGGTAACGGCGCAGTTCTCCAAGGTCAGTGCAGGTGTGTCTCTTCAGCAGCTCGGCCTTCACGGAGGCCAGTGCGTCCCTGTCTGCCGTGGCAAAGACCAGGTCGTCGACGTAAACAAGGATGTAGAACGGAGTCTGGCCAGCACGAACGAAGAGTGAAGGGTCTGCGGAAGACGGAAAGAACTGCAGGTCAGCAAGCGTAGCACGCAGAGTGTCGTGCCACTCACGGGGAGCCTGGCGCAGGCCGTAGACGGGGCGCCGCAGGAGCCACTGGGTCCCAGGAGGGAAGGTGCCAGTAAAGCCCGGAGGGCGACGCAGGTAGACCTGCTCGTGTAGGCTGCCCTGAAGGAAGGCAGTGGAGAAGTCGAGGGAGTGAAGCTCGTAGTCACGCTGAGCAGCTAGGTGTAACAGAACCCGAAGAGTAGTCATCTTCGGGGTCGGAGCGAAGGTCTGGAAGAAGTCCACCCCCTCGCGCTGACTGAAGCCTCTAGCCACATAGCGCGCCTTGAAGACAGGCGGCTCTCCAGGAGGGCGCTTCACCTTGAAGAGCCAGCGGCCATCGACTACGTTCACCCCAGGTGGGGGAACTGCGTCGACGAAGGTGCCGGTGGATCTCCAAGATGCCATCTCCTGCTCCATGGCAGCTATCCACTGTGAGGCCCAGGATCCCGAAGTCGCCTCAGCGTAAGTGCGAGGGGTCGGGATGTCGAAAGCGTCTGGGTCACCCTCAGGGACTAGCAGCATGGAACAGAGATGGGGAGCAGCCTCGGAGAGGAAAGCAAGCTCGAACTGGCGGTCCTCCAGGACGTCACTGCCAAGGGCAGGAGCACCCCCGACAGACGGAGGACAGGCAGGGTCAGAGACCAGAGCGGTGGCGTAGTCAAGGCGGTGGGTAGAGGCGAAGTCAGCGACAGCAACGACAAGAGCGTCAAGGCACGAGACCGGAACAGACGGGTCGGTAACGAGAGAGGCAAGGACCCGAGGAACGAGAGGACGAGCGGCACGAAGGTAGTCGGACAGCGGGGGGGGCGCAACAACAAGGGAGGACGGAGGAGGCGACGGGAGAAGGGGAGGACGAGACGCGTGGGAACGAAGCAACATAGGGTGGGAGCGCAAGACAGGCGAGGCAGGACGAGCACGGGAGGGGCGGTGAGACCAGACGTGCGACGGAGGAGTCGGGTCAGGAGACAGGGGAGGGGACACAGGAGGGGAACGAGGGGGGAGACGAGCCGGGGACGAGTCCGGCGGAGGGAAAACAGGGCCGTAGACAGGAAGAGGAGGAGACGGGCGGGGAGGAACCGACGCAGGGTCGGGGGACGGAAGGCCGAGCAGGCGAAGGGCGGACACCGGCGGGGACCGCTGCTGCGGCGGCACAACGGTGACACCTGGACCGCAAGCTGCTCCTCGGCGACCACCGACACTCTCCACACCAGCACCCCCAGAGGGACCACCCCCAGGGCGACCGGGACGAGCACCCCCAGAGTCAGCGAACGGGGGCTGCGACGGCGGCGGCGGAGGCGACGGCGGCGGCGGCGGTGGCGGCAGCGGCGACGACGACGGCTGCAGCAGCGGTAGTGGCGGTGGAGGAGGGTGATGGAAATCGTGCAAATCTGGAGAGAACTAATTAGAGATTAAGTTTGACGATCTCAACAGAACATTGCGTGCAGCTCAAGTAACTTCTAGAAATGAGCTTATACGCGTTGGAAAGGTCTTAATCTCTACTTTCCAGAATGGTAAAGCACGTTCATAACCAAGATCTGAGCCGCCGATTATGACGAAATCAGTGTGAGGGGATATTCTGGTAATTTGGCTAGGCAGCCATGAATCACCTAGTAAAAACGAGAAGGGAAGCAGTTCGATCTGGAAAAGTTCGAGAATGAGATTGTCAAACACCACCAACCCTCGCCCTGGACCAAACCCTAACACTCCCAAGTGCCACATCTGCAACATCAAAGATGTTGTAGTGGGTTTGGGGTTGTATGGGTTGGAAAGGTAACGAGATCAAACCTAGCCAACCAACCCACATCTTTTGCCCAAACCCCAATAGCCCACAATCAGCTAGAGCAAACTACACCACAGAACACTACACAGTTATCACTCCCCCTTGCTCGTGCTGGGTGTGGCTCAACACCATAGGGCAAAAGACTTCACACCACTCCCCCTTGCCCATGGGTTGGGGCCACCCAGAGCATGGAGTCCGCCAAGGAGAGGAGCACCAAGATGCCGGCATCTGCTGCGGGAACTCTGTCATCATGGGGCTGCATCCCGAGCAAGGTCATGCACACACCATGACGCTCAAATGGAAGAGACTTGGTAAGAATATCAGCAGCCTGACGGTTGGTGGGGCACCACTGCAAAATCACCTCACCCGCAGCTACCATCTCCCGAATGAAATGCCACCGGACCTGCATGTGTTTGGTGCGGCCATGCAAGCATGCATTCTGTGCAAGGGCAATGGCAGACTGATTATCCACAAACACAAGCACACCACCAGCATGATCATGGCCAAACTCCCCAAACAAACGCCTCAGCCAGACACCCTCCTGAATGCACTGACACAGACTTATATACTCACTCTCAGTGGTAGAGAGTGCTACCACGGGCTGCCTCTTGCTCTGCCAAGAGATAGCTGCCCAATTCAGACAGAACACATACCCACTCTGGCTCCTGCGTCTTGCGGAATCTCCAGCATAGTCAGCATCACTGAAGCCAACTAGCTGGACCTGAGACTGGGGCTGTGTTAGGAAGAAGATCCCTGACTTGACACCACCTTTCAGGTACCTCAGCACTCTCTTAGCGGCCTGCAAGTGAAACATTTTAGGACAAGAGGCGACCTTAGATAGCTGTGAGACTGCAAAGGCAATCTGTGGCTGTGTGGTAGTACAAGCATACATGAGGGATCCCACAATGCTTTGGTAGAGCTTGACCAGCTCATCTCGCAGCAAGGGTTCATCCTCATAGGCATGCACATCAAAGCCTGTTGGGAGAGGAGTACGCACGGGGTTGGCCTCTGAGAGACCAAAGGACTGAAGCATGTTAAGAATGTACCTCTCTTGATGAATCAAGATACCACTCTCATCACGCTCCATTTGCATTCCCAAGTAGTACTTCACCTCCCCCAAGTCCTTCATGCGAAAACGCGAGGACAAGAACTCTTTCACTCGATCTAGCAAAGCCTTGCTAGAGCATAGGAGCAAAAGGTCATCCACATAAAGGAATAAGGAGATCCGCTCCTCATCTCTCACAAAGTGGTACAAGGCAGGGTCACACTCAGATCTCTCAAACCCAAAATCCATGAGAGCCTCATCAAATTTTAGGTTCCACTGTCGTGGGGCTTGCTTTAGCCCATAAATGGACTTTTTGAGGCGACACACTCGGTGAGACCCATCATCAAAACCAGGGGGCTGCCGCATGTAAAGCTCTTCCTCCAAATCCCCATGGAGGAAGGCTGTCTTGACATCCATATGATGGATATCAAGCCCCAAAGCAGCTGAAATTCCAAGCATACCTCTCAAGGTCGCATGCTTCCCAACTGGAGAGTACACTTCTTCATAGTGTACTCCCAATTTCTGCGTGTTTCCCATCACCACCAATCTGGACTTAGGCCTCTCAATGGTACCATCAGGGTTATGCTTGTATTTCCAAACCCATTGACACCTGAGGACCTCCAAACCAGGTGGTACCACGGCTGGATCAACCAGCTCAAATGATCCATTTACCTTGTGAGACTCAAGCTCCTCATGCATAGACTCAACCCATTCGGGACGGTTCAGCGCCTCATGGACTGACCTAGGCTCATGCACCTGACCCATTAGACACACATCAAGAGCATACTCATGCCCATGCATGTCCACAAGCATGCAATCATCCAAATCAGACACAAGATGATCATGCATGCGTGCAATGTGCCCCGGTGAAAACCTTTCAGGTGGCTGGGAAATTCGAGCACTGCGTCGCAGAGGTGTTGCCTCTCCTTCTTCCAGCCTCCGCAGCTTCTCCTCCCAAGTCACCCTCTTCATTGGAGTCCTTGGAGTCTTGGACAGCTGCTGGTTCAACAACTGCTGCCAACTGCTTCTCGATGGAGTTGAAGGCACATGCTGCTCCGGCTGATCATCACGCGCATCGGCCTGCGTGGCTGGCTGAGGGGTAGAATCTGTCTCTCGGGACTCCTCATGGTTAGGATCAGCTGGTTCTGGCTCCTCCTGCTGCTCCTCCCCTTCATCTCCAGGGTCCTCCCATGCCCCCTCAAAGATAGAAGCCGTATGAGGGTCTTGAATGGAAGTCCCACTTTGGCTTGTACCATGCTCCTTCCACCCCTTAAAATTCAGCCCCTCATGGAAAACCACATCACGGCTCTCCATCACACGCTGGTCAGCTACACTCCACAGCACCCAAGCCTTGCTCCTCTCAGAAACCCCAAGGAAGATCCCCCACTGTGCCTTAGGATCTAGCTTCCTCCTTTGCTGGTCAGGTACCTTATACTGTGCCATGCACCCCCACACTCGTGCCATGGAAACATTCGGCACCTTCCCTGTCCATAAGGAGTATGGGCTCTTGCCTCCAAGCCCCTTGCTGCCCATCCTGTTCTTCACCCAGTTGGCATACTGCACTGCTGCCCCCACCAAGTGTTATCAAGCTCGGCATGGGAAAGGATGGCCCGAGCCAAATCGGTCAAGGTCCTGTTAAGCCGCTCCGCTGCCCCATTTTGCTGCGGCGTGTAAGGTACAGAGAGCTGGTGGGTAATACCCTTTTCTTCCAAGAAGGTTTGAAGTTCTTTCCCAAGGTACTCTCCACCCCGATCTGACCTTAACACCTTCACCTTGGCCCCTGACTCCCTCTCCACATAGCGTATCCACCGCCTAAACACCTTTGCCACCTCATCCTTGGTCTTCACCAAGATGACCCAGCTAAGTCGACTGAAGTCATCAAGAAAGGTGACAAAGTATCTGTTGCCCTTTTCCCGGTCAGGAGTTTGCATCGGTCCACACACATCCGTGTGCACCAGCTCAAGGGGAGTCGAGGCATGATCAGAGGAGATAGGGAATGAGGTTCTAGGCAGCTTTCCAGACGTGCAGTCCGGACATTTGCTCTGCTGCCCAGCTCCTTCCTTGACCTCCACCCCCTTCAGCTCCCCCTTCTTCACACACTCCAGCAGTTGCTGCTTCCCCGCGTGCCCCATGCGAAGGTGTAGCAACTCAGGTGACACTGTTTCCACCTGCCTCCAGCGAGTGCTACAAGCGGCTTCCTCAGAAAAAACCATATGTGCCTTGTAACAATTAGGCACACAAGCTGGAACAAGGTATAAACCCTTGTCCAGCTTTGCCTCCATCACCACAGCTTCACCCTTTCTAACAGTACACCCTCCCTCAGTGAAAGTGCAGATGTATCCCTGTTTAGCCAGCTGCGAGCATGAAAGGAGGTTTGCAGCCAAACCAGGGACGTGAAGGACCCCCTTCACACCCACTAGCTCCCCCTCCTTCCCCTTAATGGTGATCATGCCGATGCCAATTGCTTGCAGCAAATCTCTGCTCCCAACAATCACGTTCCTCGAGTTTGGTGGGAGAGGATGGTAGGAGGTGAAGAGATCACGGCGAGGAAGCATCCCAGATGTTGCTCCAGAGTCTAGAACCAGGAAGTTGGGATCAGCCAATGCACGACCAGCGAGAGCTGCATCCTGCCCTAGCATGAGAAACGAGAAACCATCATCGGAGGAGTCGTCTTGGCCCTTCCCCTTCTCATCCTTAGCAGCTGCGGCCGTTGCTCCCTTGCTGCCCTTCTTATTCCAGAGCCCCTTCTTCATCCTTTTCTCCACCCAATCAGGTTTGGTCACTGGTGGGGCCTCTCCAGAGTAGCCGTGAGGCTTCCATCCCTCAGGCCTACTCCAGCAACTCTTCCAAGAGTGTTTTTTGTTGCATCCGGGCACAAGGCATTTGTCCAACTCTTTCTTCTTCCCCCCACCTCCTTGCTGTTGATAGCCTTTCCTGAAGGAAGCTTTATCTGCTGCACCCATGCCTCCTTCTAGACCTCTTCCAGCATCAACCTTGCGAGCCTCATCAGAAATTAGAACCTCCCAAATCCACACCTTGGTCCATTTCTGTTGCTCGAGGTGAAGGTACTGTAGTAATGCCTCATTAGCCGCTTGATCCAACCCTTGGAGCGCAGTATAGATGATCTCCTTCTCATCTACCGTGTAATCCAGCTCCTCCAAAGCCCGCACATTCTCATCCACCCTCTGGAGATACTGAACCATGGTCTCCCCCTCCCCATAGTTCCGCTCCATGGTGTAAAACCGCTTCCGCCAAGTAAGCACGCTTAGAAGCCCTTTCTGCAAGTGCCTATCTTGTACTCTTTTCCAAGCTGCAGCCGCTGCACCTTCCTTCCCCTTCAGGTCAATCAGCATCTTAAGAAGCTCAAGTTGCCCCTCCAAAGCCCAACACAGGTACTGAAAAGCCTGGCGATCCTTCCGATCCCATGCTTCTTGAGCTTTGAGCAACTCCTCGCTACTTGGTTGCGACCTTCCGGTTCGAGTTGCAGCAGTTCCTCCTTCCTTCACCCCACTCAACGACGCTCCCCCAGCCCCGGATCCCACTTGGCTGGTTGCTCCAGTAGACGCCTCCCCAGAGTCAGCTCGTGGTCGCTTCTCCGATCCATCCAACACACTTTCTAGGTCCTTAATACCTAGCCATAGTGTGAACTGGAACCTCCATAGCGAAAAGTCCGAGCCGGTAAACCTAGGAGGGCCATCCAACTTTTGGGCCATGTCAAACCCTAGATTTGGAGCACTTCAAGCCTCTCTAGATCTCTTCCAATGGAGGAAAGAACGTCCTCTAACCGTGGCTCTGATACCACTGATGGAAATCGTGCAAATCTGGAGAGAACTAATTAGAGATTAAGTTTGACGATCTCAACAGAACATTGCGTGCAGCTCAAGTAACTTCTAGAAATGAACTTATACGCGTTGGAAAGGTCTTAATCTCTACTTTCCAGAATGGTAAAGCACGTTCATAACCAAGATCTGAGCCGCCGATTATGACGAAATCAGTGTGAGGGGATATTCTGGTAATTTGGCTAGGCAGCCATGAATCACCTAGTAAAAACGAGAAGGGAAGCAGTTCGATCTGGAAAAGTTTGAGAATGAGATTGTCAAACACCACCAACCCTCACCTTGGACCAAACCCTAACACTCCCAAGTGCCACATCTGCAACATCAAAGATGTTGTAGTGGGTTTAGGGTTGTATGGGTTGGAAAGGTAACGAGATCAAACCTAGCCAACCAACCCACATCTTCTGCCCAAATCCCAATAGCCCACAATCAGCTAGAGCAAACTACACCACAGAACACTACACATTTATCAGAGGGGACTGGGGAGGGGACACCTGGGGAGGGGCGGCCGGCGAGGACTGCACAAGAGGGCCACCAGAGTCAGAAGACTCCTCAACCGGGTCCACGGACGGAAGGGGGGTGACGTGGGACACACCAGAGGGGGCGGGACGGGGAGGAGGAGGAGGAGGGGCGGGACTACCGGGGAAGGGGTGACCAGGAACAGGGGGGGGGTAACCGAAGGACCACGGTGGGGAAAGCGGCGGTAGTAGGAGACAGACTCGTCAAAGGTGACGTCACGAGAGTGAAAGAAGCGGTGAGACGGCGGTTGGTAAAAGTGCCAGTCGGACGCGTCAAGGGGAAAACCGAGGAAGACGCAGGAAAGGGTGCGGGCAGTGAGCTTGTCCGTGCCGGAGGCACGGACGTGAGCAAGGCAGCCCCAGACGTGGAACGCAGACGCGTCACCAGGGGACCCCGTCCAAAGACGGGTGGGCGAAACCTGCGGCTGCTGAGGGTGCGGCCACAGGTTAAGCTGGTGAGAAGCGTAGCGCACAGCGAATGGCCACAGAAAATGGGGTGCACCGGCATGGATCATGGAGGTGCGAGCCACCTCCATGACCAAACCGATGCGTCGCTCAGCGACCCCATTCTGCTGTGGGGAGTCCGGTAGGGTGAACGTCTGGGTGATGCCCTCCGCACGACAAAAGCGACCAAGGACACCGGAGGCAAACTCGCCACCACGGTCTGAGTGAAGACGCAAGACAGGGAGACCGCGGTGGACACGCGCAGAGACAAGCCAGGGGATGAGAGCGCCAGGCACGTCGGCCTTGCGCTCTAGGGGAAAGACTGTGGTGTAACGAGTGAAGTCGTCGACAAGCACAAGGAAGTAGCGCTCTCGACGCGGCCCAGGGACGGGGGCGGGGCCCCAGACGTCCAGGTGCAGGGTCTGCAGCGGCGCGGCGGTAGGGGGAAACGAGGAGGAGTGAGGGGCACGGCGAAGCCGACCCTCGACACAAGGCGTGCAAGGTGGGGCTGGAGAGGAGGGAAACGCAGGGAGCGAACCTGGGAGACCAAGGACAAGACCGTGCTGAGACATGTGACGCAGACGCTGGAGCGCAGGGTGACCTAGGCGGTGGTTCCGCAGGAGGGTCGGGTGAGTGAGGGAGCGACAGGAGCAGGCAGCAGCAACCTGGGTAGACGCAGCCACCTGAGGGGGCGCTCCAGCCGGGGGGGTCACGGTGTCCAGAGTGAACAGGCCGGACACCGGGTCCCGGGGGAACGTGGACAGGGGGGCACCAGTGGCGGCCTCGGTACAGACAGCATACCGCTCGTGACCAGGGAACGTAGTGGTGACGCTAAGGTCCTGGAGGCAGCCGACACCAACTAGGTTCCTGGAGAACGAGGGGATATGCAGACCTGTAAGAGAACCCGAAGGAACCGCCGGACAGGGAAGGGTGGTGGAACTGCGGGCGACTACCGGACCGCCGGAGGGGTCAGCAAGAGAAACTGCAGCAGGAACAGGAAGCGGCGTCAGGGTGGTGGAGTCGCGGAAGAAACACCGAGAGGCGCCAGAGTCCAAGGTGAAGGAAAGCGAAGCCGAGGGGTCTGGCGACGGAACGACGGCGGAAGCACCAAGACTACACAAAGCAGGGGATCCTACGCCTGACGCAGCAGGGGAGGCTAAGCTAGGCACACATGCACTAGGCAACAGTGAGTAATAAGTGGGAAGCACACTAGAGTCATCAGCATACATCACATGCAGAGCAGAAACAATGGCATCCATGTCCATATCAAAAATCTGAATCTGACGACTAAGCAAACTGTGCCAGTCCGGGAGGTCTGGCGACGGGCCGAAGCGCTGACGAAAGAGGTCGTCCAGGCGACGAAAACAGCGGGGAGTGGAGTGACCGATCTTACCGCAAACGAAGCCGCGGCGAGGACCGGTCTGGATCTTGTACTGGCAACGCCCGCCGCCAGAGCCACCACGTGGCACACCACCACGCGCCTGGCCACCGCCAGCACCGGGCCACCCTGGCGGGAGGACACTCGTCTGCCGCGTCTGCGACGGCTGCTGCGAAGGCTGCGACTGCGGCGGCTGCTGCGGCTGCTGCACCTGCAAGGGCGGCGACTCAGCTGAACTGGGCAGGGTCCCCTCGTCCACTCCAGCACCAGGCGACCCGACCCCACCACTACCCCCGCTCGCACCCCCGCCGCCTCCGCCGCCGCGCCCAGCCTTGGGGCGGCGGCCCTTCCCCGAACGGACCTGCGCTGCAGCAGCAGTCTCAGCCACTGCTGCAGAGCCGTCGGAGAAGGTGCACTGAGCGGGGGCACAACCCTGAAAGATAGGGACCGGCACGACACCGCTCGCCTGGGCAATGGAGCGGTGACGGGTCTCTATCACAGTCAGGGTGTCTACAAAGTCAGTGAGGGTGAGGTCTGCGGGGTGAACGCTAAGAAAGCGGTCGCGGGCGACAGCAAGGCGGTCAGGGAGGCGGGTGGCAAGCAGGTAGAGGGTAGAGGTAATGGGCGGCTGGTGGGCTCTAAGCTGGGCGTCAGTGCAGGCAGCGCGCCAGGTCTCATCTATCGAGCGCAGGTGGGCAGCGAGGTCAGAGACAGTGGGGAAAGATGCAAGGTCAGGAAAGAGCAGCGGAAGGATCAGGCGACCCACCGAGGCAGCCGGAGGGGTGGAATAGCGCTTGATCACAGCATCTAAGTATGCCTGAGCAGTAGTGAGGGACCTAAAGCGATGACGCTCGGATGGGGGAAGGGCGTTGCTAATGGCAAGCTAGGCAACAGCATCGCGAGAAAGCCAGACAGAGCGCGCACGGGCAGTGGCAGCAGTAGCCTCACGCTCAGTGGGTGTGGGGTCAGCGGGCAGAATAGCAGGGGGGTCTGGGCAGGGGAACGTACCGTCAAGGTGTGCGGAAAGCGGTTCACCATCCTGCCGCTGGCCAGTGAGTTGACGGCGGAGGTCGGCAAGCCACGCCTCGAACTCTAGGGGCTGACCTTCAGCGTCGAAGTGAAGCTCTGCCGCCATCAGGAATAGTCCAGTGCAGTGCAGGGCAGTGCAGTGCGGTGCAGTGCGGTACAGTGCGGTGCAGTGCGGTGCAATGTGGTACAGTGCGGTGCAATGCTGAGTAGTGCGGTGTAGTGCGGTGTAGTGCGGTGCCAGGCAGTACAGTGTGGTGCGGGGCGGCACGGAGCAGGGCGGGGTGGGGGGGAACCGTACCAGTGAGGAGGACGGGGCCGGGGCTAGCCCGACGGGGCCGGACGGGCGCGACGGGGCCGGGCTGGTGCGACAGGGCCGGGACGGGGCGACGGGGCCAGCGAGCGCGACGGGGCCGGGCTGGGGCGACGGGGCCGGGCGAGTGCGGCAGGGCCGGGCCGGTGCGACGGGGCCGGGCGAGCGGGACGGCGGCCGGGCGGGTGCGACGGGGCCGGGCAGCTGCGACGAGGCCGGGCAGGGTGGGACGGGGCCGGGCGGGGGCGACGGGGCCGGACGGCTGCGACGGGGCCAGGCAAGGGCGACGGGGCCAGGCGGCTGCGACGGGGCCGGGCGGGCGCGACGGGGCCAGGCGGCTGCGACGGGGCCGGGCGGGCGCGACGGCGCCGGGCGGGCGCGACAGGGCCGGGCGGCTGCGACGGCGCCGGGCGGGCGCGACGGGGCCTGGCGGCTGCGACGGGGTCGGGCAGGGTGCGACGGGGCCCAGGAGGGGCGCGAGGGGGGCCTGGGAGGAGCGCGACGGGGCCTGGGAGGGGCGCGACGAGGCCCAGGATGGGCGCTACGGGGCCCAGGAGGGGCGCGACGGGGCGCTACAGGGCCTGGGAGGAGCGCGACGGGGCCCAGGAGGGGCGCTAGGGGGCCTGGGAGGAGCGCGACGGGGCCTGGGAGGGGCGCGACAGGGCCTGGGAGGGGCGTTACAGGGCCCAGGAGGGGCGCTACGAAGCCCAGGAGGGGCGCGACGAGGCCCAGGAGGGGCGCTACGGGGCCCAGGAGGGGCGCGACGGGGCGCTACGGGGCCTGGGAGGAGCGCGACGGGGCCCAGGAGGGGCGCTAGGGGGCCTGGGAGGAGCGCGTCGGGGCCTGGGAGGGGCGTTACAGGGCCCAGGACGGGCGCTACGAAGCCCAGGAGGGGCGCGACGAGGCCCAGGAGGGGCGCTACGGGGCCCAGGAGGGGCGCGACGGGGCGCTACGGGGCCTGGGAGGAGCGCGACGGGGCCCAGGAGGGGCGCTAGGGGGCCTGGGGGGAGCGCGACGGGGCCTGGGGGGGGCGCGACGGGGCCTGGGAGGTGCGTTACAGGGCCCAGGAGGGGCGCTACGAAGCCCAGGAGGGGCGCGACGAGGCCCAGGAGGGGCGCTACGGGGCCCAGGAGGGGCGCGACGGGGCGCTACGGGGCCTGGGAGGAGCGCGACGGGGCCCAGGAGGGGCGCTAAGGGGTCTGAGCGGAAGCGGTAGGTGGGGGGGATCCTACCTACGCGTGATACCATATCAGAATAGGAATTGAATGATTGTCAAGTGAGAGTACACACAAATATATCTAAGTGTTGTACCCTCTAAGAGGTAACCCTATACAGTCTATACAAACATGACAAATACAGATGTTTGACACCGACCCCATTCCAGGCGCGACTACTCGGGAGGGAGGGAGGCGGGGGGGGGGGGGGGGTGGGGGGGCGGAGGGTTCTGTTTCAGGCCGAAAAAATGTTAAGGCTGATTGATCAGGGTTCACGAAACAAGAACATACTAAAAAATAGGCCTAGCAAAAGGGAACCCTTTAAAATCAGGACAAATGAA